TCCGGAGAACAACGTGCCTGGCATCCCCATCCTTAATGTGAGCGCCACAGATCCGGACCTCGGGCGCAATGCCCACCTCTCCTACAGCCTCTTGCAAGGTGACACCACTTTTGGCCACCTCTTCTCCATCAACCGAGAGAATGGCACCCTCTACCTGCTCACCTCCCTGGACCACGAGGACCAGGTGGAGTTCAGCATGATGGTGCAGGTCCAGGACGGTGGCTTTCCACCTCTGGCCACCAACGTCTCGGTCAGTGTGTTTGTCACTGACCTCAATGACAATGCCCCAACGGTGCTGTACCCTCACCCCAACACCACCGCCACCTACACGGATGTGGTGGCACCAGGCACTCCTGCCGGGCACATGGTCACCAAGGTGGTGGCGGTGGATGCGGACGCAGGGTACAATGCCTGGATCTCCTATACCCTGCTGCAGGCCACCGACCCCAGCCTCTTCTCGGTGGGGCCGCACAACGGGGAGATCTTCACGGCCCGCCAGCTCCGCGAGGATGACGCTCCCGAGCACACCTTAGTCATCCTGCTGAAAGACCATGGCGAGCCTGTGCTGTCCACCAGTGCCACCATCTCCATCTCTGTGGCCGAGATGGTCAAGGAGGTGCTCCCTGACCTCACTGATGTGGCCCCTGCCAGTGATCCCAGAAGACATGTGACTTTCTATCTCATCCTGGCTGTGATTTTGGTGTCAGCAGCCTTCTTCATCACCATGCTGTCCGTGGGCATCTTCAAGTGCTACAAGTGGAGGCAGTCAAAGGAGCTGTACAACAGCTCCAGGAGTACCACGTACAGGACACCGGGGCCCTTCCACCACATCGATGCCGTGCGGGGCGGCTTCACACCGCCCAGCTTCTACCACCAGGTCTATCTCACCACAGACTCTCGCCAGAGTGACCTCCTGTGTAAAAAGCCCTTCACTTCCAGCCCCTTGGGGAGCCGCCAGGGCACCATCAGGAATGGTGAGCCAGGGCTGTACCACCAGATTGTGGGCACTGCCAGCCGGCTCCCCGCACCTGCTGAGGTAATGTAGCTCCTTCCTTGGCGTGTCCCAGCGCTGGGCAGAGCCACGGTTCGTTTGTGCCGTACGTGTGCAGTTGTGTGTTGGGGTTGGGGGGGATATCCAGTCATGCCACATCCCTGAAGAGTTCAGCTCCAGCTGAACAAGTGTTCTTTGCAGTCAAATGAGCCATCCTGAGGGCTGATGACTTTTGCAGTGTGGTGAGCAGGATCAAGTGAGTCAGTTCGTTCATGTTGTCAATGATGCATCTTTTGGACGCAGTTTTGGGTACGCCTTGCATGAGTAACCGGTGGAGGCTGAGGTCAGCTTGAAACCACTTGTTAATCCTTGGCACGAAATTTGTTGCTCATGGTATTTCCTTCCCTTTGCAAAAGGAGAGCCAAGGGGAGCACTGGCACTGCGGGGGAACGTAATCTCTGTGCGTCGTGACTTGGTGGGGGCTGGAGAGGTGGTGGTGCAGATGGGGTGGGAGCTGGGGATCGGTGTCACCTCTCACAGTGCAAGCACACAAAGCTGAAGGATGCTGCTGGTTCCTCTGATGGACAGACCGTGGTCACAGAGCAGTTCCTCCCATCTGTGCCGCTCCTCATGTTTGACTCCTGAATGGTTCTGGTTTTATTTCCATGGAAGTTCTGTGCTGAGGTTCGCTTTGGGGGAGGGGGTGGGATTGCAGACTGCCTCAGTTGCTCGCAGGGCTCTGCCGGGCTGGACTTTGGCTCTGAGCAGGGTGGTTAGTCCTCCACTCAGATGTTGCTCAAAAACCCTATTACAAGCTCTGCATGATTTGTATTATGCTGTCTTGGTGATGTCTGATGTCCTGATCGAACACACTGCAGGCTGGAAGGCGTTTGCGCATGGCAGCAGCTTCTGTGCTTGTCCCCCGATGGGAATTGTGCTGCTTAATTTGAAAGCTTTCAATTAGAGAAATTCTTCAGTCTTCAGAAGTGAGGCCAGGTAGTGGATCCAGTGGAGGGGGAGTGTTGATCTGGTGGATTTCCAAGGTCGTTGGTGCTGGTAATTTGTCCTTCCTGGGAGGCAGTGGGTAGGAGCGACCGGTTCCTCAGAGCAGAAGGAAGTGAGGTGCAGCGGAAGCTCTTCATGGCTGTGAGGCTGCGTGTGCTGCCTGCTCAGTGTGGCCAAATCACAGACGGAGGCAGAAACCTCTCAGAATTATTTTATGCCTTTTTTTTTTTTTTTTTTCCCCTTGCTTGCGTCACTGCTCAGACTCAGCACTTCTGATTTGTGGCAGGTGAGAATGGCTGCAGCAGCTGCAGGAGCAAGTGTTCCTCTGCATTGTGTGGGCTGTGCTAAGGCTGGGGACAAGGATGTCCCCTCCACCAAAACTTCCTGACAAGATGCCTCTGGTGATGAGGGCAATAAATGATTTGAGAGTGGGGTGGAAGGAGGGCAGCAAGCCTGAGCCCCAGCCGTGACTCCCTCCTCCTCCCCAGTACTGCACTGGAAAGGCACTGGGAGTGAGAAATCAGCTGGGCTGGCTCTGGGCCCTGGATTTTCAGTTTTTGTGGTGACAAATGTGTCAAGCCTGCAAAGGCTTTACACCTCCTTGCTCTGCAGGGCACAGCCAGCCCCCAGAAGTATTGCAGTGGGAAGGGTGTTGGCCCTGTCTGTGGCAGGTGACGTGTCCTGCCATCCTACCCTGCAGGATTTTCAGTGGTCCCTGGGTTGTCTGGCTTGGTGCCTCTCCACAGAGTGAGCTCTGACCCTGTGGAATTAGGAATATCTCCTTCTCCATCCTAGACACCCCAAACCCTTCCTGCCTTGTCACACTGTCCCTATCCCAGGCTCTGACAGACCCAAACAGCTGCAGGATTCCCAGGTAAAGCCCTTGCTCCAGCTCCTTGGTGGCTGAGCCATGTCAGGACACGGGGTCCCAGGCTGTGTGGGCTTTGCAGGGGATTTCTGCTGAGGCACTGCAGCAGCACCAAACCCATTCCCGGGGGTGCAGCACCCTGTAGTGCCAATGGAAAGCTCTGTCACCCAGCTCTACTGCCCAGCCTGGGATGGGGACAGGGCACATTCCAGAGCCAAGGTTACTGTGACAGTTTCGTGCTGGTGGCACCCTCAGGAGCCCTGGGGGAATGACTATGTACAAGAAGGAATTGGCCTCTCTGTGCTGAGGGATCCCTTGTCCGGTGTTTTTTTTTCTGCATTGTCTCTTTAAGGACGCCTTCTCCCCTCCCCCAGAGCTGGCAGTAGGTGGGACCCGGGCACTGTTCTCACCATTCCTAAGGTTCTTCCCGGTGTCTCTCCCTGACTGGCAGCAAGGTGGTCCCGCCTCACGGCTCTCAGAATAGGCAGGGAGGTGCTGCAGACGGGAGGGAGGACCCTCGACTGCAGCACCTTCACGGTCCCTGTCCTCACCAGGAGGATGCTGTCCCCATCACCATCCCCCGTGCTGGATATCAGCCTCTCTCACCTATCCCCCAGGTCACTCTGGTGCCCAGGTGGTGGGGACAGGCAGGATCCCTGTCTGCCACACCACTGCAGCCCCCAGCCCCCAGGGTCGGTGTGCACCCAGGGGAGGGTCAGGGTGGCCTTCAGTGCACCGAGGACAGAAAAGGGAGGGGGATTTTTACAGCCTGTAGTGACAGGACAAGAGGGAATGGTTTTAAACTGACAGGAGGTTTGGATTAGATAACAGGTATAAAAATTCTTCCCTGTGAGGGTGGTGAGGAACTGGCACAGGTTGCCTAGAGAAGCTGTGGCTGCCGCATCCCTGGGAGTGTTCAAGGCTGGGCTGGATTGAGCTCTGAGCAACCTGGTCTAGTGCAGGTCCCTGCCCAGGGCAGGAGGTCAGAATGAGGTCATAATAAGGCCATTCTGTGACTCTGTGACTGCACAAAGCTTCTGCGGGGATGTGAATTAACTAAAAGTCTGCAGCTTGCCAATATCATCTGAGGCAGGGAGAGCAGGAAATGACTGTGCTCCCCCTGGGGGGACTAACACCCCAGCAGGAGAGTGACTGCAAAGCTGGACCTGCCACAGAGTATCAGTGTGTGTGTGTGTCTGCCAGGTGGAAGGCTCGGCTTCCTTCCCACTCTGACATCCTGACCTGGTGTTGTGATCCCGTGGTGATCTAGTGGCCGTGTTGTCTGGCTCTGTGTGTTTGCAGTGATTTGGGTACTGTGAAGACTGACCCCTTCCTTGCCCCAGGGTGAGGAAGTGGTTTTCAGTCAGGTGTGCATTGGGAACAATTGTATTTTGGCTTTGAGTGGCTCACCTGCCTTTGCTTTTCCACCTTCAGCCTCCCACTCCCACGGTGGGCTGGCAGGGGTGGCATCCCCGTCCCAGTGCAAGGTGGTGGTACTGGTGGCAGCGATGCCTCACCCAGAGAGGCAGTCATGGGGTGCAGGCAGCAGCCAAAGCAATAGCTGAGGGGGAGAAGAGGGGTGAGAGAAGAGCCCCTGGCACCTCGGGGCTCTAACAAGCACCTTTTCATCGGGCATGAAAAGTCCTTTGGCCTGCGTTCATGACAGCTGCCCTTTGTCTGTGGGCACGATGTGAAGCCACCATTGTGGAGGGGGAGCACACAGGGAGGGCTTGTACCTTGCTTCCAGGCTGCCAGGACGTGCAGTTTCCCTGTGAACGCAAAGCGAGCTGTCGGAGCAAGTGAGTCAGGCTGGCAGAGGGGAGGCCGGGGGTGGCAGCCCCGCTGTTGCCGGCTCAGGGCCCTGCTTCCCGCACCTCCGGAGCCACTGCTGGCCGAGAGGGGATGCAGCTCTCGGCCAATTGGGCGCTGATCTGAGGCGAGGGGGGGAAATCGGCTTCTTCTTCTTCTCCCCCCCCCCCCCCTCCGCCTCGCAGCTGGGAAGATGGAATGGGTTGGGATGGATTTGGAATCTCATTTTTTTCCTCCATGGACCCCCCCCTCCCACCTCCGCGCTGGGGCTGTGATTCAGTTCCCCTCCCCCAGCCCACCCCCTCGGCTTGGAGGCTGACAGTTGGAGCCGCAGCCTGCCGGAGCCCCGGAGCTGTTTTCTAAGCCGTGGAAGAGAGACCCAGGGATTTATTCGCAGTTCCTCAGTGCCTGCTGTGTCCCGGGCCGGATGCGCACGGACATGGAGAGTGTCAGCCTCCAGCGATCCGCCTGGAAATGGCAAGTACTGAGTTTGTTTTTGCTCTGCGGCTGGGGCTGGGGCTCCGGGCAGATCCACTACTCGGTGTTTGAGGAGTCAGAGTTGGGAACCGTGGTGGGGAACGTGGCCCGGGACCTGGGCTTGAAGGTGGAGGAGCTGCCAGGTCGCAGGCTGCGCCTGGGCTCCGAGGAGAGCTTGCGCTACTTCTCCGTGCGCCTGGACAGCGGCACGCTGGTGGTGAGCCAGCGGCTGGACCGCGAGCGTCTGTGCGGAGCAGCTGCCAGCTGCGTGCTGTCGGTGCAGGTGGTGACAGAGAACCCCCTGCAGCTCTTCCGCCTGGAAGTGGAGATCCTGGATCTGAATGACAACTCCCCGAGCTTCCCCACTGCTCACCGCACCCTGCGCATCGCCGAGTCTGCCACGGTGGCTGCGCGCTTCCCCCTGGAGAGCGCGCAGGACCCCGACGTGGGCAGCAACGCTGTGAGCTCCTACCGGCTGAGCCCCAACTCGCACTTCTCTCTGGACGTCAAGCAGCAGCCGGATGGCAAACTCTTCCCGGAGCTAGTGCTGGAGCGTGCCCTGGACCGGGAAGAGCAGCCAGAAGTGCAGCTGGTGCTGACGGCTGTGGACGGGGGAAGCCCAGCGCGCTCGGGCACGGCGCAGATAACGATCCAGGTCCTGGATGTCAATGACAACGCGCCCACCTTTGAGCACACCACATACAAGGTGAAAGTCCCGGAAAACACACCTGTGGGGGCTGTGCTCCTCCGGGTCAATGCGTCTGACCCCGATGAGGGTCCCAATGGGGAGACACAGTACTCCTTTGGGGTTCACACCTCCGACTCGGTGCGGAGGCTCTTTGCCCTGGATCCCCACTCCGGAGAGGTCCGGGTGAGTGGGGCCCTGGACTTTGAGGAATCGCGTTTCTATGAGATCTACGTGCGAGCCCACGATGGAGGGGTCCCAGAGATGGAGGGCAACTGTGTGCTGCAGGTGCAAGTGGAGGATGCCAATGACAACCCCCCGGAGGTGCTGCTCACCTCCCTGTTGAACCCGGTGCCAGAAGACACCCCACCGGAGACTGTCGTGGGGCTCTTCAATGTACGGGACCGAGACTCGGGGGCCAATGGGGATGTGAGCCTGGAGATCTCCCCCGATGTGCCTTTTGCCATCAGGTCCCTTCAGAACCACTTCTCCCTGGTCACCCAGAAGAGCCTGGACCGAGAGTCTACCTCACGGTACGCAGTGGAGCTGATCGCTCGGGATGGTGGCTCTCCTGCCCTCACCAGCACGCTCACACTGCTCCTCAATATATCTGATGTGAATGACAACCCCCCACGCTTCTCGCAGCCCTCCTACGACGCCTTTCTCCAGGAGAACAACCCGCCTGGCTCCCTGCTGTGCACCGTCTCTGCCTCAGATCCTGACGACGGGGATAATTCCCGCCTTGTTTACTCCATAGAGAGTGGCCAAGTGCAGGATGCCCCCATCTCTTCCTTTGTCCACATCAACCCTGACAATGGTAATCTCTACGCTCAGCGCACCTTCGACTTCGAGCAGCTGCAGGTTCTGCCGGTGTCCGTGGTCGTGAGGGACTCGGGGTCCCCCCCGCTCTATGCCAACGTTACCGTCTACATCTTTGTGCTGGACCAGAATGACCATCCCCCCACCATCCTGCGCCCCGCCAGTGACAGCGATGTGCCGGCACCCCAGAGGGTCCCGCTGTCCGCCCCACCGGGCTACCTGGTGGCCAAGGTGACAGCAGTGGATGCAGATGCTGGGCACAACGCCTGGCTCTCGTACCGGCTGTTGCCGCAGTCCACCGACCCCTCCTTGTTCCATGTGTCCCTGTACACAGGGGAGGTGCGGACGGCGCGTGCCTTCCAGGACAGCGACATGGCAGTGCAGCAGCTCGTTGTCCTGGTGACGGACAACGGTGACCCGCCGCTCTCCACCACTGCCACCATCACCGTGGCCCTGGAGGAGGCAGCCCTGGAGGAGAGCTTCAAGCCTCAGGATTTCCTGGCTGGTGCCAAAGAGAAGCCGGACCTGACCTTCTACCTGATCATCGCGCTGGCAGCCGTCAGCACGGTGGCACTGGCCACTGTCACCCTGCTGGCCGCCCGGTGCCTCCGGCGCAGGGGCCGCGCCGCCGTCTCGCCCTACTGCTGCTGCTGGCTCAGCGAGTCGCCCTCCCGGGACTTCTGCAAGCACTCCAGCCCCAAACTGCAGCTCAGCTCCGACGGCACCCTTAAGTACATGGAGGTCACGCTGCGACCCACCGACTCCCCATCCCAGCGCTACAGCACCTGCTTCTCCCCCGGCTCCGAGCGGAGCGACTTCACCTTCCTGCGGCCCTGCCCAACCCCCGCCACGCTGCCGAGGGAGAGCGGGGCTTTCCTGCCCGCCGCCGGCACGCTGCGGGACCGCGGCCAGGTGAGCGGCAATGCCGGGGCGGGGTCCGGCGGTGCCGGCCGTTCCGACGGCGCGGGCCCCGCGGGGGGCGCGGAGCGGCCGCTCCGGTTCGCGGCGCGCGGCTCCGGTTCGCGGGCCGTGATTGGCGCCGGTGTTGCTGTCCTGGGGAAGGAGCGCGGCGATTGGAGCGGCGCCGCCGCGCCCGCAGCCAATGGCGGGGAGGCTGCGCGGCCGCGCTCCCCCCGCCCCGTCGAGCCGCGTCCGCCCCAAACAATGAATGGGAGCGGCGAGCGCTGAGCGCGGCCCCCGGCGCCGAGGGCATCGCTCCCCGGCCGGCCACCCGGCAAGGATGCCGAGGGCAGGGCAGGCGCGCCGGTCCCTGGGGCTGCCGCGCGTCTTCTCCTTCTGTCTGTTCTTGCACAGCTCATCTGCTCAGATCCGATACAGCATCCCGGAGGAGCTCACACGGGGTGCCTTTGTGGGCAATATCGCCAAGGACCTGGGCACCGATGTGGCTAAACTGGCGGCAGCTAATCTGCAGGTACTGTCGGATTCGGATTCGCAGTACTTCTCCGTCAATGTGAACACCGGGGTTATTATGGTCAGCGAGAGGATAGACCGGGAGCAGCTCTGCGGGCAGAACCCACGCTGCTTCCTCCACTTGAAACTTGCCATCGAGAACCCAGTGGAGTTCTACCGTATCGAGGTGGAGATCCTGGATATCAATGACAACCCCCCGGAGTTCCCCAGCGATGAGGTTTCCTTGCGCATCTACGAGCTGGCATCCCTGGGTGCCCGCTTCCCCATCCAGCCAGCCCAGGACCCCGACGTGGGCACCAACACCTTGCAGACCTATCACCTGAGTGCCAATGACAACTTCAACCTCAACGTGAAGGCCCGCACTGATGGTGGGAAGTTCCCTGAGCTGGTGCTGGAGCGGGCCCTGGACCGGGAATTCAGAGCTTTCCACTACCTGGTCCTGACTGCTGAAGATGGGGGCTCTCCCCCACAGTCCAGCAAGATTCGCATCACTATTCAGGTGCTGGATGCCAATGACAACCACCCGGTCTTCGACAGACCATCCTACGGAGCACGCTTGGTGGAGAACTCGCCGCTGGGCACCCTCGTGGTGAAGTTGAATGCCACTGATGTGGACGAAGGACCCAACGGCGACATCCGCTACTCCCTCAGCAGCCACAACTCGGCTGCCTTACGCCAGATCTTTGCCATCGATGAGCAAACTGGGGAGATCCGTGTCCAGGGCAACCTGGACTTTGAGGAGGCGACGGTGTATGAGATCGAAGTGGAGGCCAAGGACATGGGGTCGCCCACCATGGAGGAGCACTGCAGCGTGGTGGTGGAAATCACCGATGTCAACGACAACGCCCCTGAGGTCATTCTTACCTCCTTCTCGAGCACCCTGAGCGAGGATGCGCTGCCGGGCACGGTGGTGGCCGTGATACACGTCAGAGACAGGGACTCTGGCGAGCAGGGCAAGGTCCTGTGTCACGTGTCTCCAGACCTTCCCTTCCAGCTGCGTAAGGACTACGAGCACCAGTACTCGCTGCTCACCAGCACCCGTTTGGACCGGGAGCGTGTTGCCTACTACAATGTCACCGTCTCTGCCTCGGACCTGGGCAATCCCCCGCTCTCCCGCCACACCATCTTGCCAATCACCCTGATAGACGTCAATGACAACGCCCCCCAGTTTGAGCAAGCGTCCTATGAAGTGCTGGTGGCAGAAAACAATCCCGTGGGCAGCGTGCTGGTTACAGTCTCTGCTGCCGACCCCGACTCGGAGCAGAATTCCCGCCTGTCCTACTCCATCCTGCGAGCTGGTGGGACAGATCCAGGCCTGGATCCTACTCGCTACCTCTCGATACATCCCACGAATGGGCAGGTCACTGCCAAATTCCCTTTTGACTATGAGCAAACCACCTATCTCCAGTTCCACGTGGAGGTCTCTGATGGTGGCTCCCCGGCCCTGAGGAACAGAACACTGGTTCATGTTTTTGTGGTGGACCAGAACGACAACGCCCCACGGGTGCATTTCCCCAGGGCTGGGGAGGACTCCGCCACTCAGTTCCGAATTTCCCCCTCCATCGTCCCTCCTGCCCTCATCACCAAGGTGGTGGCAATAGATGCGGACTCGGGGCGCAATGCCTGGCTGTCCTACCACCTCGTGGAAGCCACAGACCTGGGGCTTTTCAGCGTGGCCCTGCGTTCCGGGGAGGTCCGGATCACTCGGGCTCTGCAGGAGACGGACGCCTCTGAGCACGAGCTGCTGGTGGTGGTCCGGGATGCCGGGGAGCCCCCGCTCTCCACAGCGGTCACACTGGTGGTGCTGGTGGAGGAGAAGGGTCCAGAGGCCCTGCAGGGCTCCGAGGCTCGGGCCGCTGATGGTGGGGGCTTGCCCTCTATTACCCTTTATCTGATTGTGTCCCTAGTGCTCATCTCCACCGTCTCGCTGGTGGGACTGGCAGCGCTGGGCATTCGGTGCCTCCGGCGGGGCTCTGCACCTGCCAACCAGGGCTGCTGCGTGGAGAGCGTGAACACGCTTCAGCCTCCTCCCAGCCACATCTTTGGGCACTTGCACTATGAGCCTAAGAAAGGGGACACTGTGATGGGCGTGCAGGTGACAGCAACGGCGCCCCCCGCCCCTCGGTACCGCTCCTGCTTTTCGCCGGTCTCGGATATCAGCGAGTTCATGTTTGTGAAACCCTCCGCGGATCCCGCCCTGTGCAGCGAGGTGAGCTCGGGAGTGCGGTCTCCAGCCTGAACACAACGCCGGTGTTCGGTACCGAACCGGCCAGGCTTCGGGGAGGGGGTGTCCGCCGGTGCCCGGTGCCAGCAGCCGGGCGGGGCGGAGCGGGGTTCCCGCTGCCGGGAGTCCCCGGCGCCCTCCCGGCGCTGCGGGGGCGGAGTGGCGGCAGCGGGGGAACGGGGGGGGAGCTACGCCGTGCGTATTTTGGGGGAAGGCGGTGAGATGGAGAAAGGGAGGAGGAGGGAGAGAAAAAGGAGGAGGAGGAGGAGGAGGAGGAGGAGGGGGCTGTGGAGAGACGTAAAACTGTCACTCGGTCCATCCCCTCCGCTCGCCGACTTTGTGTGTCTTTGCGTATCGAGAAGCGGTTCAGCCGGCCGGGCTGCGCTCGCCCCCTCCCCCGCCTCCTCCATCCCTCCCTGTCCGGCTCCGGCGGCGGCTTCCTCCCTGCACAACCCGCTCGGACCCCCCCGGTTCCCGCAGGGGTTCCGGCTGCCGGGGCCGGCTGCGGGGGCGGGGAGGAGGGGGAGGCTGCGCGGAGCCGCCGCCGCCGCTCCTCTCCGCTCTGCTCCGTTCGCACACCCGGCACGGGATGCTCGCGGGACAGAGTTTGCCATGGCAGCTCCCGCTGCTGCTCGCAGCCCTGTCCTGCCTGCCGGCTCCCAGCTGCGCCCAGCTCCACTACTCCGTGCCCGAGGATCGCGAGCCGGGCTTCTCTGTGGGCGACCTGGCCAAGGACTTAGGGGTGGAGGTGCGGAGCCTGGCAGCCCGCAACCTGCGCCTGGTGAGCGAGGGTGGGCAGAGGCACTTCCAGGTGGACCTGGCGGCAGGTGTGCTGCTCCTGGACAGCAGGCTGGACCGGGAGGCACTGTGTGGGCAGAGCCCCACGTGCTCTCTGCACCTCCAGCTCGTCATGGAGAATCCCCTCCAGCTCCACCGTGTTGAGGTGGACGTCCTCGACGTGAACGACAACGCGCCCCAGTTCCCCAAGCCAGAGGTGGTGCTGGAGATTACTGAGGTTGCCAACCCTGGGACTCGGTTGCCCTTGGAGGTAGCAGAAGACCCGGACATGGGCTCCAACTCCATCTCCACCTACGAGCTCAGCCCCAGCAAGCATTTTGCCCTGAGCATCAACGTGAGAGGAGATGGTGTTAAAATGCCCGAGATCGTACTTGAAAAAGCCCTGGATAGAGAGAAAGTGCCAGTTCATCACCTAACACTGACAGCCCTGGATGGAGGGAATCCCGTGAAATCTGGCACTGCCAGGGTTACCATCCACGTCTTGGATGCAAATGACAACCCTCCTGTCTGTGACCCGCCTATATCCAAGGTGCTTCTGGAGGAGAACGTGCCAGTGGGCACTCTGGTCACCAAGCTGAATGTCACCGACCTGGATGAAGGTCCCAACGGGGACGTGGAATATTCTTTCAAAACCAGCAATAATGCACCAGGTAAATTCACCAAACTCTTCTCCTTAGATGCCCGTACAGGGGAGATCAGGACCAAAGCCCCACTGGATTATGAGGAATCCAGTGCTTACGAGATTGCAGTTCGAGCCAGGGACAAGGGATCCCCAGCCATGGAGGGCCACTGTCACCTGCGAGTGGAATTAATTGATATCAATGATAACAGCCCAGAGATCCTGCTGACCTCTGTCTCCAGCCCAGTGCAGGAGGATGCAGCCCCAGGCACGGTGATCGCCCTCATCGGTGTAAAGGACAGCGATTCCGGTGACAACGGGCAGGTCCATCTGCAGATAGCAAAAGAGCTCCCGTTTAAACTAGTGTCGTCTTTTAAAGAGCATTTCTCGCTGGTCACCAGTGCTCCCCTTGATCGGGAGAAAGCCACTGGATACAACATCACAGTGAGGGCTGTGGATTCAGGGTCCCCCCAGAGGGCCACACAAAAAACCTTTTATCTGCGCATCGCTGACGTGAATGATAACGCTCCGAATTTCTCCAGCCCTTTTGATACAGCTCACGTCCAGGAAAACTCCCTCCCTGGAACTTCTGTCTTTTCAGTGTCAGCATCAGACCCCGATGAGGGTAGCAATGCCAAGCTGTCTTACTCCATCCTGGACAATGGGATGCAGGATGTTCCCATCTCAACCTACTTCCGAATCGACCAGGACAACGGCACCATCTACACCGTGCGAGCTCTGGATTACGAGCAGGACAAGGTGTTCCAGGTGCCTGTGGAGGTGAAGGATGCTGGGTCTCCTGCTCTGAGTAGCACTGCTGTGGTCCACGTGTTCGTCCTGGACGAGAATGACAATGCTCCCAGCATTGTCTACCCGTCTGTCCCCAAGGGCTCTGCCTTCCACCAAGCCATCCCGGCCTTGGCAGAGCCTGGCTATCTGGTAACTAAAATTGTAGCGGTTGATGCTGACAGTGGCCATAATGCCTGGCTGTCCTACCAGCTGCAGGAGCCTGCTGAGGCTTTGCCTTTCCAAGTGGAACGCCGCTCTGGAGAGATAAGGCTTGCACAGGCTCTCAGGGAGTCAGAAGATTCCCACAGGCTGGTGGTGGAAGTGAGGGACAATGGCACGCCGTCCCTCTCGGCCTCCGTGGTAATAATCATTTCTCTGGAGGAAAACAGCGTGCAGGACTTCTCCAAGTCCTTGGACCTGCCCCAGTCTTCTCCCGAGGATACCAACCTAACTCTTTACCTCATCATCTCCTTGGTGTCCATCTCCCTCGTGTCCTGCGTGATGTTCGGGCTGGTGGCTGCCCGGTGTCTCAGAGCTGGCAGTGCCAGCTGGACCTTGGCATGTTGCTGCCGAGGGTCTGGCCGCAAGCCCACCTCCCATTTCCGAGGGCAGATGAAGCCAGATGGCTTCATCAAGTACCTGGACGTGGGAGGAGCGGGCTTGACCTCCCAGGCACAGAATTACACCTCTTGTTTCTCGCCCATGTCTGAGCAGAGCGATTTCCTCTTTGTAAAGCCCTTCAGCCATTCCAGCACTGCAGAGACCGTGGCTGCCTATGAGCAGGTGACCAGCACCTTAGCGAGTCCCTGCGATGGGGTAAGAGTTTCCTTCTGTCCTCTCTGCTGAGTGCAACAGTTTGTCATATCCAGGCCAGCTGGCTGTTCTCTGTCTGTCCTTCCTCCTAAGACGGTGGCCTCAGGGAACACGTGTCACTGTCATCTCCTGGGAGGTGGCAGGTGAAAGTTTTGGCTGGGTTTGATGCAGGTGGGGGAAGGGGCTGGGCAGCGTTATTGAATCAAAGGCTCTGTGTCTGTAGCAGTGGAGAGTTTCCCCTTGGCCCCGCTCGTACTTGCTTCTATTTAAAGCGATTCTCAGCATGGTCAGGGACTTCTTTTTTGGGGGTTAAAGTTCTTCTCTTTAACCCCTTTTTCCTACACGGCACATGAGCTGTGCTGTGGAGGAGGTTATCCGAAAGGAAAGTCTGCCTGTGCCTCTTTTGCTCGGTTTTAGAGATGCATTGTAGAAATTTCTCATTTCCCAACCCCCAAGTGTTATTAATTACTGCCTGTGCCTCAGCAAGGGATCATTTTCCAGCTTGGTCGTGTTGAGCAAGGAGCTGAATTCGGTATTCAGCACTAAAATACTGAAATATCAGGAGTGACATTATTCACAGAGATCCCGGTGACCTTATGTGCCCTTGGGCTTGCAGAGGCTGAGGAGTGGCAAGCTTTGAAAACTTGAGCTGTTTGTACTCAGGTGCCTAAATATAGATGTAGGTGACTGTGTTTAGCAGGAGCTTTCAGAACTTCGGGATATAAAAAGCAAAGCAATTTTGTGTCACAAATGCCTGGCCTAAATTTGAAAATGGTAATTACGACAGGAATTCAAAAAATGGAGGGGCTATTCAGAATATTGGGAAGGGTTTATCTAGTGCAGTATTGTGTGTCAGCGTGTGCAAAAATGCATATCTGAAATCTGGAGGGCAAGTCTTGAAACAGCTTCATTTGCATGCAGCATGGGGACCAGTGGGGCATCTATTTTAGGGGAGTAATTTATTCTAATATCTTCTTTCATGAGCATCATCAAAGCTGCAGAGAAATTAGTGAGAGCACATCTACCAAATAAAAATCTAGGTCAGCTCTACTCGTCTTCACTTTTCCTTAAGTAATTGCATGTACAAGCAGAATAATCCTATAAAACTGATGTTCCACTATGAACTGCTCCTTCCTAAAATAGCTGAGGGAAGTGTTGTCCTTTCCAGGTAGTATGTCATCGCTCTGGAGTTCATTAAGATGATCATGATTTTCGGAAGTGTGTGTGTTTTCCCGACAGAAACAGTTGTGCTCTTTAGTGCTTTCCACAAAGGCATGATTCAAACAGGAATATACAAGCTTGCTCCATGTCCTTCCTTATTTACAAAATGTGCATTGTCTGGTTGTAAAATAACACGGGCAGAGAGCGATATGGGGCTTTATTAATGAGGTTACAAAGTGTGCTGCTGTGTCTGAAGGTTATTGTGTCTCCTAAACAAATAATGCTTTTTTTTCCTCTTGCTGTCGGAAGTTTATTCTTTCCTCTGTGGACAGAAAAATATTGTAGTGCTCCAAGGCCACAGCAGCTAGGAAAAGTCATTCAACTCCAAAGCATTGAGAGCAAGATCTCAGGCAGGCCTTTTTAAGGACAGAAGAAGCAGAGATTAGGAAGGTCTGTTACCATTTTACCTTGGGGCATTAAAAGCATCTTTCTCAGTATCAATTAACTCTGCCACCCCCTCGCACCCCCCTTCCTCCTCCAAGCTCATTACTGTGGTACCACTGCTCCTGCTGAATTCGTGCCCTTATCAGTTTATTTCATGCTTCATTTCTTTCACAGCCTGCTTTCCTGAGCTGCTTTGGAAGATTATTCTCTGAACAGTTTTTGTCATGCTTTTTTTGGTATTCACGCTGCTTCAGAAATACTCCAAGAAAGGGGGAGGGGGGAGCTTTCTCTTTGTTCTAATTGATTTTCTTCACTTGGACAGAACATGCTGATATTCCAGACTGAAATAATCCAGGATCATTTTCAAAGGCAAGAATGGAGGTATTAAAACTCTTCTTTTTTCTTTGCAGCAAGCTCAGCCTAACACAGACTGGCGTTTCTCTCAGACCCAGAGACCTGGAACAAGTGGGTGAGTGGCTCTTTCTTCATTTATCTGTGGGATGAAGGTTTCTTTTCTTGGTGTGCCACTTTCAGTGCTGGAAAGTCCAAGAGTGGCAGCTCTGACAGTGTCCCTGTCATTGATGGAGTCAGGAATGGAACCAGGGCTGCTCCTGTGTCACCTGTGTTTGGTGGGGGTGTGACAGCTGCTGTTGGCAGTGCTGTGTCTGGGTTTGGTGTCTGCACCTCAGGAACTGGAAAGAGTTCCAGGTGAAACCAGGAGATGGTTGAAGGATTGCACAGTGGGTTTCACAGAGAAAAGCCTCTTTGCTAAAGCAGATTCTGAAAATGGAAATTCCTTCCTGAGTCAAAAATCTTAATTCCTCTCCCTTCATGGAGGCCACTGGAAATCGCTCAATTTTTACCAGTCATGGGACCTTGAGCTCTGTGCTGCTGAGCTGAGAAGCACAGGATGGGTCAGGGAACCTCAGAGCTTCACCTGGTCCCACCTCCCTGCTCAGCTGGGTCACCCCAGAGCACAGGATTGTGTCCAGGTGTTGGAACCCAGAAAACTTTGGGATTTTTGAGCTTTCTGTGCTTTCTGGCACTGACCCCCAGGAGAACACTGCTTTTGCTTTGAGGCCTTGGAAAAGGCTTCCAAATTTGAGTGATGGAGTTAAAATCAGGGGTGTGTAGTTAGAATAGAAGTGTGTGATTTCACATGGTGAAAGGTTTGGAATTTGGGGTTTTTAGAATATAGTAACAGGTATAGGACAAGATGAAAGTTTTTGGGTGTTGTCTCTTTCTGTCTCTTCCTTCTTCTTCATGATTTCAGGTAGCAGTTGGACAGTCAGTGCTACACTGTGAGTCACAAGTGTTTGGTTATTAGGTCAAAAGTATAAATAATATAGGTGTTAGTGCTTTATTGGACTGTTTAGCTTTAAAAGACCTTGTAACCAGCTAAATTCACCTCCATTTTGCTCACTTTTAGCTGGTAGCTAGAAGTGTTGCAAAACTCTCTGTACTTTAGATAAGATTTAATAAACAACCAAGTCCGAACACAAAAAATTCATCACCTTCGTGTTTTTAATCCTGACTCTGAGTAAAGAAAAAAATACAAAACAAAACCAAGCCACTGATAAGGTGGTGCAGTTAACCCATTTACATCCAGGCAGTTCAGGAATATTCCTAGGGAAGGAGATTGCACATTTCTCACTGTGAGGTGTGTGTGAGGTCAGAAAAGGAGCCCCAGCAGCAGAGCAGACACCTCCCAGGTGAGTGCCCTGCTCTTGGTGCTCTCTTGCCTCTGGCCCACCAAGGTTTGCTTGTCTTGGTCCACAGTGAGAGACCACTGACAACAAAATGTTGGTTTTTGCCTCTCCCATCTTTTCTCGTGAGTAGAGACAGGGATCTCCTTCAGAGGGTGAACCCCCTTGAAGGAGAGAACTTTAACTGAATTCCACCTTTCTCTGTGAATAGCCCTGTGTATGAGGAGACTGGCTCCAGGATAATTTTTATGTGAAAAGATTAGGGCAGAGCTGAGGATTTTACTCCCTGAACAATCAGGAGTAAATTTGGGTGATTTGCTTCCTCACCTGGCTGGCTCAGGCTCTGTATTTCTGTGCTTTGTCATTCCTGGTGGCCACTTGGGCAGCTCCTGTGGAGGTTAAAATGGCAACATGGGAATACTGGGTGCTGGATTTTGGTGTCAGAGCTTGCAATTAAACATCTGCACCAGCTGCCTGTGCCTGACTCTTTCCCTGGGTCTGCCTCAATAATTTATCTTATCAGAAAATGAAGAGATTGCTATAGCCAACTTGTTGAAGTGATTAAACTTTGCTATTCCAGCTGATAAAGCTAAAATGGAGTGAGGCTTTGATGTAATTAGATAAAGTGCTCATAGTAGAAGCTGGCCTTGGACTTTAAAACAAAGCTAGAGCTGCAATAGTTTTCTCAGAGGTCTGTTGAGTTCCCCATCACTGGCAACATTTTAATCAAGGAAAATCTTTCTAAGCATTTCCGCTCTAGTTCAAATGACAATTAACAAAGCCCTGTTAATGCAGAAGTGCTCCACAGCTGCTGGAATTGTTTTGCTGTGAGGAGGCAGCAAATGAGCCCCATCAGAGCAGGCTCTGCTGCTCCCTCTCCCAGCATCCTGCTGGGGCTCTGCAGGGCACAGTGATGCAGTCCAGACCCCCTGAGCTCAGTGACAGGGACTTTTCTCAGGTCATGGGACAGTGACACTCCGCCCAGCTCCCAGCCCCTGCCTGGATCTCTTCACAAGCTCCATCCCCTTCCCAGCGCCTCAGAGGCAGCAGCAGCAGCAGCTTGTGGCGTGGGAAGAGAAAGGGCAAGAGGAAAAGCAGCCTCAGCCTGTTGGTGGGGAGCTGAAGGAGGGTGACATGTTAGTTCTGCGATGTCACTGCTGAGGGTCTGTGACCTGAGTGCCCAGGACAGTCCCTGGAGCAGCTGCTCTTCCATCACAGGATGCTTTGGGTCGGAAGGGACCTTCAAGCTCATCCAAATCCAACCCCCTGCCCTGGGCAGGGACACCTCCCCCTGGCCAGGTTGCTCTGAGCCATTTCCATACCAGGAGAAAAACCCTGACTTTAGAAAAAGACTTTGCCCAAGCACAGGCTGCTGCTGAAATAACTGAGAAAACTCAGTGCATTTTAATTCCTGCTGCTTTTCCTCATTTGCCTGTGTCCACATTTGCAACAAAACGGCACTTGCAGATTTTTTTTCCCATTTCTTTCATCCTGTTTTAAGTGAAATGAAGGGGGATGTTTTTAATGCAAACTATTAAAGGATGAAAATAGAAAGTGCTCTCATATGTTCAGTGCCCAGCCCTGACATCTCGCTGGTGATCAAACAGGCAGCTCCTGGAAAGCAGCCCACTCCCCATTGTGCTGTTCCCAGCATTTTGATGCCTGGTGTGTGAATTCCCCAGGCACTGCTCAGTTGTACAGGCATTAAAGAGGGGGCAAGAGCAGCTCCTGAGCCTGGCTTGCTGTTCTCTCCCCGCTGTTAAAAATGTACAAATGTGTCTCCTGCTGACAGGTGAAGCTCTGTGGCACCACGAGCTCTCTGAACCGCAGGGCTCTGCTTGGTGCTAGGGGAGCACAGCCCTCCTTTTAGCTGAAAATCAAAATAAGGGATGCTCTTAACTCTGCTCTTAACTCTGTTTGACCCAAATTACAGAACAATAAAGACGCAGCAGCTTAGGCCAGGGGTTTGGATGGAGCGTGGGGGGAGCCTGGCACTGACCCTAAGCCAAGCTCAAACCCGTGCTGGGATTTCTCCCTTGCTGTCTCCATGGGAGCTGGGGTAGAAACAATCCTGTGTTTTCTCACATATAACCCAGCCCATCACAACAAATCCCACATGGCTCTGGGCACCTGGAACCAGGCAGAACAGCTCGATGAGGCACGGAGCAGCTCTTGATCTCCTGCATCGCTGCTGCTCCAGGACAACAAAGGGAATCTGCTCTTTGTTCTGAAACACCCGAGAGCTCTGGTGCACATGCTCAGGAGAGAGGAGCTCAGACAATATGCTCTGAAAATGTGGTAGCGAGGCAGACCTGAGCAAAACAGGATTAATCTTGTTCGGGAGAAATAGGAGGATAGGATGATTAATTTAATGATGTTTGTGTTTTGTTTTTCTTAAAAAAAAAAAAAAGAAAAAAAAGCCAAACCACGCCCGTGCTGTCGCTGGGCAAATGTAAATGAATCCAGACTGATTCCGAGCAGCAGATGCCATTCCCAGATAAATCAGATCAGTGGCTGCAGCGGAGATTATGGTGATGAATTGGCCAAAGTGGAGTAAATGAATGGTCCAGCAGCATGGCAGGATATCCCTGTGGGATCCTCGCTGTGGGGTTTCCCTGTTGGAGGAGGCTGGGGGTGTGTGGGAGGAGGGTGCAGGGATCGGGGCTGCTGCAAAGGACCCATCCTGTTGTTTTGCTTTGTTTTCATTGTGCTCTGCATGTTCGTGCTGCTCTTTGTTTTGGTGTCCGTGTGATGATTTGTTCAGGAAAACACCGCGCTGGAGGCAGGATTTCCTTCCTGCAGGATGGGGAGGGCTCTGTGCTGCTCACAGGTGGGCATGAGAGGTTGAGACAGGCCTGGGAGGCACCTCATGGCAGGACTGAGGACAATTTTGGGCTTTGTGGATGGGCTGGGAGGAGATGCCAGGCAGGAGACACCCCAGAGACATCGGCAGGGGACTCACAAGGAGGTGGGAGCAGTGTGAGAATCCATGGCAACTCCAGGGAGGGAGGAGCAAAGCGTGTAGAGAAGATGCAGAATTGCCATTTCACACCCCCCCTTCCATTTGTTTTCTCCAATCCTAAATCCCCCCCTTTTTTTTTTAATGCATCCCGAAGCTGTTGCTAGCCAGGTTTCCCCTCCCCGGCTGAGCACAGCCAATGGTGATGTTCACTTTCGTCTCATTTGTTTCTCAAACAGCGTCACAGCTGCCCTGTGTGGCCCCAGCCATCATCCCCCCCACCCACAGCACGAGGGGCTTGGGGCTGACACTGGAGATGCTGCAGCAAGAGACAGCCAGGAAGGAAAAGAGGGATTTATTTTTATTTTTTTTTTCGTTCTTTGTTTTGTTTTCATGCAAGAACTTCCAAAGTTGGGCTTGCAGAGCTATCAACAGGCTGCCTGTGTGTGCTGGGGGCTGGGGAGAGGAATAAAGAATAAGCTTTAAGCTCTCAGGGGCGTTCTTGTGGCTCAAAACACGCAGGTATTGCCAAGGAAAGGCTTGTGGTGTGTTTTGGGGGGTGCAAGACTGTAGGAACCCTGAAACCTGGGAGTTTTGAACTTTCTGTCCAGTCAGGCACTGACCCCCAAGGGAACACTGCTTTTGTCTGGAGGCTTTGGAGAAGGCTCCAAAATGGAATGACAGAACCAGAATCACTGGTGTGTGGTTTGGATAGAGGTGTGTGATGTCACATGGTGAAGGGTTTGGGGTTTTAAAATACAGTAATAGGTATGAGACAAGATGGAGGTTTTAGGGCATTAGTTT